ATACACACTACCGCCGCCTGCTGGTAAGGATAGTTATTGCCACTCACGCATGCGCAGTTCGTACGTGCTCGGCAAGTAAAGTGGCAAGTAAAGTAACGAGTAAAGTAACGAGTAACTTTATGTAGAGAGTAACGAAGTAGTGTTTTAAAAGTAATATATTACATTTTTTTTAGTAACGACCCCATCTCTGGTAGTGATTATCACAGTTATTTTTGCTTGAAATGCAGATCCCTAACTTCAATTCCCCATTCATAGGATCTGAAAAACACTGGTGTGTCAGTATGAAGAAGGCTTTTGATGCATACATGTAATACGTAATAATCATAAAGCTGATAAGATAGGGTATATGCAGGAGTCCTGAAGTCAAATGTAATACCTTTTTTAAGACCCTTTCCATACATTTTAAGACCTCATTGCCACTGAGTTCTAACCGGTTACATTGGCGACACACTTCCTATATACAGTATTGATTGTCCTTCCTCCTTATCTTCCAACGCAAACTTCCATTTCCCCATAACGATGTTGTTTAACAACCGGCGTAAACGGACCTTCACGCAATCGAGCAGTGAGCATGCGATGTCCTGTTCAGATGACCGCAAATCCAACGGGATGCCATAAATAAACTACATACACAGAATCATTGATTACATTCAGGCACACTTTAAAATACAAACTCTTTGGCAGGGCTCTCGACTAACTTTTTTCACCATCCTCCCGGAACCGTCCCGAAATACAATCTAAGCCGTCCCGAAATTAATGTGGACCGTCCCGAATTTAAAATATTAGTTTTTCTACTACTTATCATTAGTTAAAATCATTCAAAGTGACCTTTAACATAAATAAAACATCATACAAATCATTAGATGATAATTCATCAACCTTTTTATTTGAGTAAATCAGTCAATCACATGAACAAAGGCCAAATATATTTAAACAAACACACAAACGAGAAAATTACTCATTAGAGTAATTTTCTCGTTTGTGTGTTTGTTTAAATATATTTGGCCTTTGTTCATGTGATTGACTGATTTACTCAAATAAAAAGGTTGATGAATTATCATCTANGCACGTTATCTACGGCCACACATTTACGTAAACCACTGCTCACATTCGCATCTGGTTACAACCTGGGACAGGGATCCCTCCTCTGTTGCTCTCCCTGAGGTTTCTCCCATTTTCCCCTTTAAACTGTGGATTTTTTTCTGGAAGTATTTCCTTGTACGATGTGAGGGTCTAAGGACAGAGGGTGTCGTTTTCTCATACTGATATTCTGTACAAACTGTGCTGTTGTATTTGTTGTAAAGTGTCTTTATTGTAAAGTATTTTTATTGTATATACAGCACTTTGGCTCGACCAAAAATCATTTAAAAAATGTGCTATATAAATAAAACTTGATTCGATTTGATATGTAATTGATTTAGAATAGCCTCAATAGCAGTGTCTAAGTGTTCCCACACGAGTGAGTCAACTCGGTGGATAGGTGGGTTAAAAGGTCTGGACCAAGGAAGTCAGGATTCACAATGTGTCCAAATAACCAATAAGAGGGACAAGGTGTTTGTCTTTTGTACTGTCACAGGACCAAACAAAGCGACGGTGTTGGCACGAAACTGTAAGTAGCAGTAGATGCTTCTGAAACTGTTAATAAGTAACAACAACAAAATGATTTAAGTAGGAATTATAAGGCTCCTTAGAGTGTGCTGTGGTGAAACCGTTGTTCTATGACAGGCATTGCACCTGTGGAGAGACAGACCTCTGTAAACACACTGGCTGTGCTGTGAGATTGTTGTTTGCAAAGGAAGGTCTGGAAATAGCTAACTGGGCAATTTCTTTTTAGCTGCAAGCGAGGCACACCTTGGGCTTGTTCAGCTCTGGGGGGAGGAAAAGGTTGTTTAAATGTCACCTCCTGACCCTAACTACACACACATTGCTGCGCCAGCCGAGAAATAAGTTATTTGTAAATGTCTCAGATGCCCTAAGGCCATGGCGTGTGTGTGTGTGTGACAGAGTGTGTATTTGTGACTCCGTGTGTGAAGACTGTAAATGAGAGCTGTACAACACTGAACATGACATTTGCAATATATGATATCAAGCTAGCCAGCCGAAGGCCACATGCTGCTAAATGCTCAGTGAGTTAGTCTAACCCAGTGTTTCTTACCTTGGGAACAGACCACCCAAAGGTGACAGGATCCCTTTGGAAGCTTTCAACCTGTTTTATGAGTAGGTCGATTTGCCAATGTACTGCCAGATTGGCGGGCCACTGGGCCAAAAGTGACCCTTCTTGGGGGTAAGTATCATTTTATAATGTATATTTATGATGTTTATTTAATAACTCAGTGTGAAAGTTATGTGTACACAGGGTGTGTTTAAGGCCTGCAATTGTATTAAAGATTTTCTCAAACTGACCATCTGCCGCCACCACCACCATCTCTATTTTACTAACATAGGCCTGCTATAGTATATTTTATAGGAGAATAAGTGAAGGATTAATTCCTGAGGATGAAATATAGATTGCTGAAGGACATTTTATTCAGGGTGTGTGACAATTTCATAAAAAAAAAAACGATGCCTTTTTTAAGAGACTTATAATCAGAAAGCGAGAAGCAAGGGGAAAAATTGCATGTTTTATGTACAAAATGAAACACAAACGGTCACAAACTCACACCTTTCACTTTTTCGTTTATAGAAACTTCATGATGTAGCTTTTTTTTCGTGTGAACATTCGTTTAATTTTTTTTAATCTACGCTTCCTCATCACAATAAATATCAGTTCAAATACCAGGTAAAATAAAAAATTGAAATCTGTTTCGTGATGTAAGTTTAGGACTAGAAACCACAGATGGTTTACAGCCCATCCGAACCCAACGCCTGAACAGTGCTGATTTACGATGACGATACCCTTCAATAAAGACGGCGGTCCAATTATTTAAAATTCAATCAGCATTAACGTTGTCACTGAGGCCAGACAACAGACATTAATAGGCTCTACATCCCCTGCGCACTTTGCTGTCATTTGCCTCTCTTCCCTGTTTCCCTCCCTCCTCCATCTTCCCCTAGTTCTATTCATTTGGTGCAGCTATTAATAGCCCGGCCACCCGCCTATCAATACCATCACAACTCCAGCAAGACAGAGGATGTGGGCATGGCCCAAGCCCAGCCAGTGGAATGAGAATAAATGAGCCAAACTTCAGAAACCTGGTCTTATGTAAGGTGATAGAGAGGCTCATCAGACATCTAGATACTATAGGAAAGAGACAGAGAGAGCAATGTAGAGAAATGGGACATAAAGAAAAAAAGATAAAAACGTCCCAATTTCATGGATAATTGGAAACTGAAAGATCGTGAAAGACAAAAGGGAGAGATTTACACATTAGGTGCAAGACAACAACAAATATGTGAGGAAAGAGAGGAATCCACCAGCTCTCTCAACATTTACACACATTCCTTTCCTCACATTCCCCCCTCAGTGCCTACAACCTCATATTTATGGGTCCACATTCCTCCCTCTCCATTTTCATTTTCTTTCCATCTACCCCCCACCTCCCCTCTCACTTTCTACTTATTGATCGAGGCAGGTTCACCCGCTTCTCTGCGGCAAAGAGAAAGACTATTGCATTATCCATAAAAGCAAGGTTTTCTGTCTGCTTTGAGTGTTTATATCACCTCCTCATCGTCTTCCTCCTCCTCCTCCTCCTGCTGCTGCTGTCTGGCCTTTGTCACTCAACCTACTGGTTTACAAATCTCTCGATAGAAATCCAAAGATGGGTCACACACCTGCTCGATCACATTTGGAAAGTTCCTTTTACTACGATTTATAACTGTTGAAAACCTGGACAGGAAGGCCAGCTCTAGCTCAAAGAGCTATTGAAAGATACAATCAGACAGAGGTGTGGACTCGAGTCACATGACTTGGACTCGAGTCAGACTCGAGTCACCAATTTGATGACTTTGGACTCGACTTGACAAAATCACAAAACACTTGCGACTCGACTTGGACTTGAGCCTTCTGACTTGAGGTGACTTGATAATTTAATTCAGAGGTCTCCAACACACGCCGATCGCGAGATGCCGCTAGGAGAGCAGACTCACTAGGATCATACCATTATGTGAAAGAAGGGTGGGGGGCAGACGCTCCAAAGACAACAGGTGTAATGGTACAGGCCAGCTACACAGAGCGATGGGGAGACGGATTTAAATGCAAGCGTGTCGGAAAAAGTCAAGAAATGAGCGAAAACCGAAAAGAGAAGCAGCATCTGGCTGCATTTCAATGATATTGGGAAAGCTGAGTGCAGGATTTGTAAAATGAAAATAACCTTCAGAGCAGGGTTTTTTGGTAACTACTCAGGATTTATTGTCAGAAGAGGGAGAAGTTCAGATCTTGTACTTGAGTAAAAGTCCAGAGTGTAGGAATACTCGGTTACAATAAAAAGTCCTGCATTCAAAATGTTACAAGTAAAAGTACAAAAGTATTAGCATCAAAATATACTAAAAGTACCAACTGCAGAGGGATCTAGATTCAGGTGTTCTTTTCCCCATAGAGACCGCCTCGCTGCATATTATCCCTTGCATAAAGATAGATTGTGGGTCCCTTATAACATGTTGTACACAGTGGAAATAAACATTCTGGTTACCTCAACATCAGGGATCTTATTCATTAAACTCCTTCTGAATCAAACCGTCACGGTAGCCTTACCTTACTGATCCCTCTTAAATTAGAAAAAAACACGTTACTTTACCAGCAGAGGGAAAATGTATTATTAAATTATTAATGTGACTAATAAAGAGCAGTTTGATTATTAAGTATTATTCTGTTGATCGATGTCATTACATTTGGTGAAAAGCACATAATGACTTGTTTATGACTCGTTTTGTCAAAGTTTAGGACTTGGACTTGAACTTGAGCGCAAAGACTTGAGACTTGACTCGGACTTGAGCGCAAAGACTTGAGACTTGACTCGGACTTGAGCGCAAAGACTTGAGACTTGACTCGGACTTGCAAAACAATGACTTGGTCCCACCTCTGGAGTGAACCCACCATCAAACTTAAGGCCACGTTTTATATAACGGTGGATGTCAGAGACAGGTTGCGAAGTGGAAGTCCCAAGAAGACAATTGGGAACCTTAGGCAGTCTTCTACAGGTTTGCAGGACGATATGGCCGACGGCTCTCTGCCCAAACAATCCGGAACAGACCTCACACAGCCAACCACCGGTCTCATAGGGCAGCCGGAAGGCCTGACATGACTGCCCTTAAACGAATAAATAGCTAAATTGCCAATATGTCTGGTTTCATCAGACCTCAATCATCCAATCAAGAGTCAACAGCAAAAATAAGCTGTTTGGCATTGGCAGACACTTTTAAACACGACAGCTCTTCTTTCTCTTAGTTCAGCCTTTTGTCTTTCTGAATTCGAATGATAGCACAATTAGTAGTGTTGATGTTTGTCTATGTCAAAGACTACGGCTTTATGCATAATGTTGCACAAAGCCACTTCAGTTATTCAGATATTTGGATGTATTTTAGATTATAATACACATTTAATTATGGAGAATTGCCTTAATGATAGCAGTAAAATGGTGAATTACTCATTATTCCAACAGTTATAGTGACACTTCAATTGCTTTTTTATTGTGTAGGATACAGAGACCTCGGATAATGACTCCCAATACTCATATGACCAAATCCCACCAATCACAAGGCGACTGCTGCTTCGTGGTCGGCTGAGGAAGAGAGCTATCGCGGTCGATGATGGAGAATCTGGTATGAATGGCAGCTTCAAGTTTTTCCAAGGATACTTTTTTATTTATAATGTTGTTCATTCCTGAGGATGTATTGCACTGCCCCTGCTCCCTTTTATATTTTCTGACTGATTGTCTTTTTGTTTACTAGATTTAGCCTTCAAGACTCCCATCAGGCCCATAATGCAACGTGAGCGCATTCTGTCAGAGATCGACCCAGTGTCGCCTCGCAACACAACGTCCAGAAACATATACTCGCCCATTGTGCGTTTCCTCACACCCACTAAAGAGAGTGAGTACATGTGCTGACGCTGCAATCCTCTATTCTTTAGAGACTGTAGGGCCATCAACGGATACAGTAAACATACTTATATTAAACAGTAAACATGTTATTGTCCCTTTCATTAACCGTTAATTGTGGAAAAGATCCAGCCATTCCTTCAACGTTTTTTTTTCTTTTCGTATGATGAAAGTGGCTGGTGGAATAAACTTGCTTAAGAACCGCAGCATGAATGTACCAGTGTCTTTCTGGTGACTTGTGGTAAATTCCCATCCGGGGTGTATCAAATAAGAAGGCCATTGTGGTGAGCTGACAGCCGGAGTTGGTATTGATTGCTTAACGATGAAAAGAACTGAACTCTCAAGCTCTGAATTTTATTTTCCTTCCAGACGTGAAACGTGACGGTTCTGGGGACGTGCTGATGAGCCCAGAACAAGGTGTGTTTGGATTTGGCTCAATTGACCTCTTGTCTGGAGAAGAGGATGAGGACATCTTCAGTCCGTACGTACAAAGCCTCTGTCTAACATAATGTACATTTCAATGTAATTATTAACATTTTTATGTTTCTAAGAGTAGTTTTATTTTCCAGCTCCACATTCATCAAAAACATACCGTCGCAGTCGCAACATTCCCGTCCACAAATCACAGATATTCCCCCCAAGACCAGGAGCACCCCCGAGGCCACGCTGGTGGTCGACCTGGTGAGTTTAATCCTCTGGAGCTTAAAAAAATTTCTTTGTATTTTTTTTTTTATTCGGATCCCCATTAGCACTAGCATGAGCATTGGCTATTCTTCCTGGGGTCCTCACACACACACACAAAACATACATAAACATACAGAAAACAAAACAGCTCATCATCCAATTTTCGCCATCATAAGGTCAAACAAAAAAGTACAAATACATGTACATAATAATATATACATACCCACAGGCACAGTTCAATTTTACTTTATATTACTGAGATTATGTTTTAGCTACCTTTTGAAATGTACTTGAGAATTTTCCTGAATGATATGGACAGGTAAAGAATTCCAGCTGACCATGGCTCTGTACATGACTGTTTTCTGTCCCATATTTGATTTAGATTTGGGTAATATGAACCCTCCTTCTATTGTATGTTGTGTTTGATAGTTATGTTGAGCATACTGCGCTATAAACCTTTTAAACATGGAGCTTCAACTTATAAATCAATAAAATATCTTATTATTATGTCTCCTCATTTCAGTAGTTGTTTGTAACTACAAAGAACAGAGGCGGTCACACCCGGATTCTATTTTTTATGATTTATTTTTTGATGTACACCACAGGAATGTTGATGACTTTGTTGTTTGTGCTCTGCCTCTGAAGTCCAAATGCAAGCCACATTGATCTGTGCTCTTTCAGGAGGAGACCCTAATGTTCAGCTCTCTGAATGTGATCGAGGAAGCAGAGTTCACCTTCAACACCGCTTTCCAGGACCATCAGTACAAGGTGACCACAAGCTTCAAGTCTTTGAGTTGGAAGCCCACTGACTGACTGATGATGGAATTGACATAGACAAATCAGTTCAGTGCATTTAGCACTATAAGAAATGTGTGTAATCCTATTTGTTTATTTTGTCCTTATCTCTGGTTTGTTATCAACAGGTCTACATGATCCTACGACCACATGTCAAAGAGTTTCTGCAGGCCATGGCCAAAAACTATGAGGTATGAGTTATTTGATATTAAATTGTCTTGTCATTGATCGGTGTATTTGGCTCTTGAGTTTGTTTCGAGTGAATAAAATGATGTTTTAATATGCAGTAAATCGCTCCTACTTGTCTGATGTTTTCAGATTGTATACAGCCCCTTCTATATGTACTATATGACTACTTTGTCATATTTAACTTTTAATCTGAACCTTTTTTGAAATCTTATCTTTCTGTGTATACTCAACTAAATGTTGTTTTCGTGGGGTTTTGACGCCCTGTTGAGTTCTTGTTTGTGAGAAATCGGTTCCAGCTGCTGTCTGTTCTGTTCCAGATGTTTGTTTACACATGTGCAAAGAAGGAATACGCAGAGAAGATACTGGACATCCTGGACCCGCAGAGAAAACTGTTTCGGTATGTCTCCATAAGATCTGGGTCCACTTGTGTTTTATAAACTCTTTGCTCGGCAGCGCTCAGGCTGACCTGTCTGTGACTCTGACATCTGCTCAGAAACTTTACATATTCTGCTTGTGGTCTGACTTCTGGTCAGTTTCTCAGGATCAGAGGTTTAGCTGACTCCTACCCTGACTTACACTGTCGCTTTCGATGAGGGCCGTTGAGATTCTTTTTATTTTGGTTTCAGGTGGTTGATGTCTCTTAGACTCAGGTGATTGATGTCTCTTAGAAAAGGGATGAACAGATAATCAGTAACAATAACAAGAATTCTGAGAAACCAAATTCTGCATGAAATTTAGAAAAAGGCCTAGTGCAACAACCCCACTCTGAAAGAAATTCTGCCCTACTTTGTTAGTCTCCTTAAATATTCCTCAAACCCCACTCCTCAGTGAAAGTGGCTTTATTCCAATGTTTTTAATTAAAACAGCGTATAAAAGTGAGCAATGTGAGATGAGTCCCTACTAGTAGAAGCTACAGATATTTATCTTCGCGACCTGTTTCTCACATTAACTTTCCAGAGTTTATAGTATAGGTGACGTGTGCACTGACTGTAAAGTAACACAGACATTTTCAACAGGAAATGTAGATTTTTTTTTTAATAATTCTAAAGTGTTTGACTTGTCTGCATTATTGAACTCTTATAAGAAAAGTGAACATTAAATGCATTTGGAATATTTGGCAAAGATTGTTGTACTGTTTGGCATTAGATTGTATAGATGTACCTATAAAGTGGCCGCTGAATATCTAGGAGGCAGACAAGGACATCTTGCACATACCATCCTAACACCGGGTTTTAAACGTGATGCACTCTCTTGCAGACATCGCCTGTATCAGGACGACTGTGCCTGCGTCCTCGGACACTACATCAAAGATCTCAACGTTCTCGGGAGGGATCTCGCCAAGACAGTTGTTCTGGACAACGCCCCCCACACATACCCTTACCATGTAAGCACTATGATTTCAGATGTGATGCTGTGTCTTTTCCATTGCTGTTAATGGGCAGGGCTGCTGAGATGCTGCCTTCTTTTCTAATCTGCAAGTCCAATGAGAGAAACTAAATCACGAGAGGAGTTTGTCTCTCAGTACTTTTTTAACTGAAGACAATAGGGAAGAGTGTAGAATATCGTCAGACTTGTCTTTTGAATAACGTCAAAAACATTATATATTATTGTTTTTTTTATCAGAGTGAAAAGAAATAGAAGACCTTATTCATTTAAATTGTGGGTGGTTTGCAGCTGATGAACACGATACCCATCAAGAGCTGGTCCGGGGAGTCAGAGGACCGAGAACTGCAGAAGCTCGTCCCCTACATGGAGAAAATGTCTGCAGCGGTAAGTCTGTCCTCTTACAGGGTGTCCGCGGGGTCTTAAAAAGTATTAAAAGTTGATAAATAAATGTAACAAAAATGAAGGGTATTAAACAGCATTTTCCAAGGTATTACATTTTGTTGCTTGTTTTCAATAAGTATATAAATTGTCCAAAGAGCAGGGCTCGAGCTTAAGGACGTCCCGTCGTCCCGGGGCCGAAAAAAATAGTGTCAGGCGAGATAATAAAATAATTTTGGGACGAATTTGGGACGAGACGTTAAATAAAAATACCCTGCTAACTCTATCACAAACGCAGATGAAGATTAAATCGACTGCACGTTGTGTGTATGTAGCAGCAGCACACAGTTATTAATCCCTCCTTGTCAACATAAACACACCAAAACATTTAGCCAACCCGCGAAACACACACACACACACACACACACACACACACACACACACCACACACAACAGTACGTAAGCTGTGCCCATGGCTGTCAGCCAAGCCGCACAGCTGGCTGTGCCCGCGAATTCCCTGGCCCGGCAAATTCCGGCGGGTCCTATCTACAGTTAGTCGCTATGTACTGAGTGGTGGTATTTCGCGGGTTGAGGTGATGTAAAATGACAATGGTATCCCGTGGAGGAATTCTGAAATGTTTAACCGTTTACATCCCAAAAACGCACAGCAGAACCAGACCCTGGAGGCGTGCCGGCTCTTTATTTACTTACTCCTCTTCATTCCCTTTGGGTATAAGGCTGAGATGAGAAACCCCTCATCGTATTTAGTCCTTAGCAATATGCTGCGCTCTCCCCATGTATGGGATGGGTACGCGAGCCCCGGTATCTAAATGGGGCTCCGCCCGGGCCGGCAATTATTAAAAGCAGTGGTAACGTTTAAAGCTCCCGACGTTATCTGACTTTTTATCGCGGTACTGGAGACATTTAAAAAAATATGTCATATGTAGTATTGCTACATAAACCATTATATCGCAGTTTTAGTTTATCCAACTCCGTTTCTAATATATGCAATAAGACTACAACATGCGTCTATGATGTATTTGTCGAGGCTTTCCTATCCAGACGAGATCT